CTCAATGCAGGAGCTGCCCTCTGGTGGTTCAGTGAGCTCTCACATGGGGAGTTCTGTTCAGCCACAAGCCAGGCTGATGGCTGCCAGTACAGCGGTGGTGGTGGGAGCCTCTCCTGCCTCCTCAGCAGCGCTAAGGATGTCTGACTCCTCTCTCCACTGGCAAATGGACATCCCCCGAGGGTTGCCAGACTGCCAGAGGGATGTCTGATTGTCATCTTAGGCCCAATCCCCCGGGGAGTAGGCCTAATCCAGCAAGTGGTCATCCCCCGAAGGGTCCCAGACTGCAAGAGGGCACAGGCCGGACTGAGAGACCTCCCCCCCACCCCGAGTGTACAAATTTTTGTGCATCGGGCTACTAGTCCATTCAATAAAATCCCATAGGAAATGGGAATAAAAGTACCATGAACACAAACAGTAATACTGAATACCAAATAAAGATAACTGTATAGAAAGGATGACAGGAAACTAACTAGGTGAGCAAACACATTTGAAGATCCCTAAAGTCAAAAACATGGGTTAATAATAACTAAGTAACTAACTAAAAAAAGGAAGGAAGGAAGGAAGGAAGGAAGGAAGGAAGGAAGGAAGGAAGGGTCATCCTTTGCTGGTTTGCTCAGTGGATAGAGTGTCACCCTGCGAATGAAAGTTCCCAGGTTACATTCCAGTCAAGGGTACATACTCAGTTTCTTCTGCAGTGGTTTTTAACCTTCCTAATGCCACGACTCTTTAATACAGTTCCTCATATTGTGGTGACACCCAACCATAAAATTATTTTCGTTGCTATTTCATAACTGTAATTTTGCTACTGTTATGAATCGTAATATAAATATCTGACATGCAGAATGTATTTTCATTGTTACAAATTGAACATAATTAAAGCATAACAAAAGCAATATGGAATTATATATGTGTTTTCCGATGGTCTTAGGCGACCCCTGTGAAAGGGTCCTTAGACCCCCAAAGGAGTCACGACCCACAGGTTGAGAACCGCTGTTCCTGTGGGTTCAGTACCTAGTAGGGGGTTGCAGGCTCGGTCCCTGCTGGGGGGCGTGCAGGAGGCAGACAATCAATGATTCTCTCTCATCATTGATGTTTCTATCTCTTTCTCCCTCTACCTTCCTCTCTGAAATCAATAAAAACATATTTTAAGAAAATAAAAATTCAGGGTCAGCGTTACCACTATCAGCCACTGTGCTTCTCTTCTCATTGATCCTAGCGACCTGTTCTCCAAAAAACTGGAAATTTTTGTTTTTAAAAACCACAGAATGCCCTGGCCAGTGTGGCTAAGATGGTTGGTGCATCGTCCTGTGTATCCAAAGGTTGAGGATTCAATTCCCGGTTAGGGCACATATCAGAATGTGGGTTCCATATCCACTTCCAGTTTGCATGTTTGCAGAAGGCAGCCTAGTGATATTTCTCCCCCATATCTATCTCTCTCTCTCTCTCTCTCCCCATTTCCCTTCCTCTCTATGTAAAAGGAATAATAAAAAAATACATAAGAATTTCAGGGTAGCCAAAAAGAAAACAGAGATCTCAAAAAAGTCTAGAGGCAAAGTAAATAACAAGACAACCTACCAAAGCTTATGTATAACATTCAGAAAATGTAATTATGAGGAGAAATTTTATAGAGATAAATGTCTCCATTGTCACAAAAGATCTCAAAGAACCTAACATGACACCTCAGGAAACTAGAAACACAACAGGAAAGTAAACCCAAAGGTTTCAAAGGAAAGAAACCATAAATATTAGAACAAACATAAATAAAAGGAAGACAAGACAAAAGAAAGGAATACCTAAAAGGTATATTTTTTAAAGATATATGAAAATGTGCAAGCCTTTAGCTACACTAAAGGAAAAACAAAACAAAACCAAGCTTCAAATAAGTAAAAAAAAAAAGGAAAGATGAGACATTACACCTGTCATTATGAAGCACAAAGCATCATAAGAGATGCTGATGTTAGGAGATGACATGACCCTCCATAGAGAAATTTGTCAAGATCCCACTATGAGCTCCTGAAATTAACAAACAAATTCAGAATCCTGTCCAGGTGGCTCAGTTTTTCAATGTGTGGCCCTGATGACCAAAGGTTGTAGGTTTGATCCCCCATCAGGGCACTTGTAGGGGACAACCAATGAATGCATAGATGGGTAGAACAGCACATCAATGCTTCACTCTCTTCCTTTCTCTGTCTCCCTTTCTGGCGCTGCAATCAATAAATAAATGCTGCCCGGTATGTGTCACTGATTGAGCACTGATTCATGAACTAGGAGGTCACAATTCGAGTCCTTGTTAGGACACCTACACTGGTTGCGAGCTCAATCACCAGTGGGGGTCGTGCAGGAGGCAGCTGATCAATGACTCTCTCCCTCTCATCACTGATGTTTTTCTCTCTCTCCTTTCTTCCTCTAGGTCCGTGGTCAGCAAACTGCGGCTTACGAGCCACATGGGGCTCTTTGGCCCCTTGAGTGTGGCCCTTCCACAATACCACGTGCAGGTACAGTGCGATTGAAACTTCGTGACCCATGCCAGAAGTCGGTTTTCGACTTGGGTGAGTCTATTTTGAAGAAGCACTGTTGATATTTGGCTCTGTTGACTAATGAGTTTGCTGACCACTGCTCTAGGAAATAAAAAATACATATATTTAAATAAATAAATAAATCCAAGAATAAATAAATATCCCTAGCGACTGTGCATCACTGATGACAGTGCTGGCTTGTGCAATGGAGGGCTATGGTTCAATTCCCAGTCAAGGGTAGATACCTGGGTTGCAGGTCCGATCCCCACTCATAGTAGAGGCACATGTGGGAGGCAGCCAATCGATGTTTCTCTTTCTCTCTCTCTGTCTGTCTCCCACTCTCTCTCTAGAAAAAAAAAAAAAACAATCAGTGGAAAAAATATCCTCACTATTCGGGTGAAGATGAAAGAAGAATAAAGAATTAAATTCAGAAAAGTTACAGGATGCAAAATAAACATACAACCATTAGCTCCATTTCTACAACCTAATAATAAATTCTTTGATGGAATAATGAAGAATATAATGAAATTTACAAAAGAATCAAAAACAATAATACCCAAAGGAATAAATTCAACCAAAATGTGAAACATCTCTACAGTGAGTACTATAAGACAGTGATGAAAGGAATGAAAGAAAACACAAATAAGTTGAAAGACAACCTGTGTTCATGGATCTGAAAATGAAATATGGTGGAGATAGCTATAGTGCACAAGGCAAACTACAGATTAAATGCAAACCCAATAACTCCAATGATATTTTACAAAGAAATGAATAGAAAATCTGGAAATGAAATCAAAAGACCTCCATTAACAAAAGCAATCTTTTTAAAAAAATATATTTTATTGATTTTTCACAGAGAGGAAGGGAAAGGGATAGAGAGTTAGAAACATCAATGAGAGAAAAACATCGATTAGCTGCCTGCTGAACACTCCATAATGGGGATGTGCCAGCAACCAAGGTACCTGCCCTTGACCAGAATCGAATCTGGGCCCCTTGAGTCCGCGGCGGATGCTCTATCCACTGACCCAAACCGGATAGGGCAACAAAGTAATCTTGAGCAAGAAGAAAGATGGTGGCATCACACTTTCTGACTTCAATTTATTACAAAGAGAAAGCAAACAAACGGTGTGTTGCTCTAGAAACACAGACACATTCATCAACAGAACAGAACAAAAAACACAGAGAAATAAGCCCAGGCACATACTTTTAAGTAATCTTTGACAAAGCAGTAGCCACAGAAGAAGGGAAAGATAGTTTCATCAATGAATGGTGCTGGTGTAAATCGACACTCACATGTAAAACAAAAAAACTGGACACCACTGAAAATTTAACTGAACCTGCAGGACAGAAATGAACGTCAACGCTAAAACTTAAAACTCCTCAGGACAACCTAGAGAAGAAGTTTTGGAGGTTTGTTTTGGACAGGAGTTTCTGAATGTGACACCAACCACCACACAAAATAGAAAAAAGAAACAGTCGACACTGCAACAAATAAAGAAAAATACCGTCTTCACTGCACAACAGCAATAAACAAAGTGAAAATGAAAGGCAATCTAGAGAACAGAAGAAAACACTTGCAAAACATATGAAGGAATCCCTTGAAGATATTGTGGATTCGGCTATGATCAGCACAATAAAGCGAATATTGTGATATAGACAGAAATTCACACAAATAGTTGGAGTTCTCCGGTAATAATGAAGGTATGTTAATACTACACTGCAGGCTAATACCAATGCGGTGACTGCCTCAAAAGCAAAGTCTATATAACTTCATTTACAATATTTAATTGCTAAGCACTGGGACCAAGCATCTGAGCTTGCTAGAAACATGGTGGCACTAGACCTGCTGAACACAGGGTTGCCAAAAACATGGACTTTGTAGAAAAGTGTGTGTGGGGAGCAATATCTGCAAATATCTACTAAGCACATGCAAAAATATGTGTTCCTGTCTGTCATAAGCAATTAATATATAAAATCTACAAGGTATTCAAAACACTCTAATAAAAAATACAGTTAATAAACATGATAAGGATGTGGAGACAATTTTTAAAAAATATATACACGTGACCAACAGGAATATAGAAAATGCTTTTCTTATAAGCATAACCAATGGACATAAGACACTGAGGGGTAGAGGAGTCCAAGGGATTGTCAAGGGCGGGGAAAAAAAACAGACATATGTAATACTCTTTGTAATACTTTAAGCAATAAAAAAAAAATAATTAAAAAAAATGCTTTTCTTACTCATCAAGGTGGAATCCTTTAAGCTTCCTGCAATACTACCAACCACAAGTCCTTCCCTGTGAATTTAGTGGAGCGGGGAGTATTGGGACTTCAGGAATAGAAGGGAGCAGCAGAAGCAGACCAACCCTCCCCAGGACAGCAACTACCCAGGAAACTGGAAAGATCAAGCAGTACCACAGTCTACCTGGGAGGACAGAGCACACCGTGGGGGATGGGGCCTGGGAAACCTCAAAGCCAAGTCCAGGTCACTGGTGAGAGTGAGGGTCTTACCCAGGGAGGATAGAAGTTCAAAGTTCTCCAGCATCACATTCAGGTACAGCTGTCTCTGACCCTCATCAAGGAGGCTCCATTCCTCCCTGGAGAAGTACAGGGCAATGTCCTCAAAGGTCACACCGACCTGTCAGAATGGAGACAATTGTAAGCAGACCTGCCTTTCTGAGAATCAGTAATCCTACAGCTTACACATCTTCCCTCCCCTCAACCTCCTCTAGGGCCCCTGGTTACTGTAGACACCAGGCCCTAATGCCAGTGCAGGCTGCTCTCTCATCACAATCCCATTACTCATTGTGATGGCCCTCAGCAGAGCAGGTGGGTTGGGTGGGAAGGATTGGGGGAGGGGAGGGTGGAGAGCAAAGCCATTTAAGGTCTGGGCGATGCCTGCAGGGCCCCAGCCTTCCTGACAAGCAACACCACTGCTGTCTCCTAGATCCTGCCTCCAAGACAAAGCCAAGTGTGGGTTCATGCTTCGCCTTTAAGTCCCCACAGCAGGACCCGGGAGCATCAGCTCACACTTCCTCCAGATGTGCTCACCACTGGGTAATGTTTATCCCCTTCCCATGTTCAGACCCCAGGTTCACTCCCTCAGCTCTGCCCCCTTCCTGCTTCAATGCCACTGGATCTCGCTGGACTCACCCATGAACTTGGCATATGGCGTGTAGAGAGCTTGTAGTCCAGCCGGATCCAGGACCACCCCAGGCCCCTGATGGACCCCACAGCCGGGAAAGCCCCGAATGAGGCTGTGCCGTCCTCCCTGCAGCCTCTGATCTTTCCGTCAATACTCACAGCCACATCCTCAGGGACCTTCAGATGCAAGTCACCCCTGTCCTCTCTGCCCTACACTTGCTGTGTCCTCAGAAGCCACAACACTCCTCTCTCCCCTCCACCTTCCTCACGGTCCTCCACGCGGGACTGAGCTGCAGGACGGGACAGGCGGCCTCCCCAGGCTGTGGGGTCTGTGTGAGGAGGCGATGGGGGCCCCGGGAGACAGGACTCACCTCAGCGAAGCTCCGCAGCGGGGGCGCCGCCATTGCCCTCTGTGGGCTGAGCCGGGCGGGAGTAGAAGCCGCTGCGGGAATGGCGGTCCCCGTCCCGGCCCTGGCGTGGGTCCGTGTGGCGACTCGGAGCTTCAATCCTACATGTGCGCTGTGAGCACCACTGGCGGCTCCGACCATTGGCTGTGAGGCCGGAGCACCACTCTTTGCCCTTCTCCACGGGACTGAGCCCAAGAACTCCCGACCGCCTGAGAGGAAAACCTGAAAAGACAAAATCCGCCAGGAGGACTACCGGTCCCGCCCTACAGAAGCGGCCAAACGGAAATGCCTTCTCTGAGCCCCCATTGGCTCAGCTTGATGGCATTCCACGCTCGGCCTTGTGGGTATTGTAGTTTTTTCGCTTCAAGGGCAGGGTGCCATATTTCTCAGTTGACTCCAGGACTTGATTTAGGGTCATGGAACCCAATTACACACCAAGTACACTAGGGGTCCTCAAGAGCCTTCAGTGGAGGTGATATCAGGGGAAAGTTTGTTTCTCCACCACTTGCATGGCTGGTTTTGCATATCTTTCTTCAGAACTTGCTCTTTCTGAATGGGAGGCATTGTTTTTTCTTCAGGACATTTGGCATGTGTCTCCTTCAGGCCATATGTAGCTGAGGGAGGTGGCTCAATTCTCTAACTCGATCTAACCTGCCTCCATTGAATTCATTATACAAAGTTGATGTCACAAAATAGACACTCATACTTAAGAGCATCTGCTTCTAATGCCATCCAAAGTGTCAGCTCTAGCCCTAGCCAGTTTGGCTCAGTAGATAGAGTGTCAGCCTGTGGACGGAAGGGTCCCTGGTACGCTTCTGGTCAAGGGCTCATGCCTGGGTTGCAGGCTCGATCCCCAGTGTGGGGCATGCAGGAGGCAGCCAATCAATGATTCCCTCTCATCATTGATGTTTCTATCTCTCTCTCCCTCTCCATTCCTCTCTGAAATCAATAAAAAAATATATATATATTTTAAAAAGTGTCCGCTCTGCCTGGGCTGCAGTGTGGATAAGATGGCCAAGAAACCTGTGAAAAAATGCTCAAAGTGACTGATCATCAGAGAGATGCGAATTAAAGCAACAATTAGAGACCACCTCACAACTGTCAGAATGGCTGTCATCAAAAAATCAACCAAGGACAAGTTCTGGGGAGGATGTTGAAAAAAGGGAACCCTAGTACACCCCATGTAAGAATGCAAACTGGTACTGCCATTATGGAAATCAGTTTGCAGTTTTTGCAAAAATTTTAATATGGAACTGCCATTTAATTCAGTGATACTACTCCTAGGAATATATCCTAAGAAACTTGAAACAATCAGATAGAATTTATGCACCCCTCTGTTCCTAGCAGCACAATTTACAATAGCAAAGATCTGGAAACTAGCCCAGGTACCCATCAGTAGATGAGTGGGTAAAAAACTGTGGTACATTTATACCATGGAATACTATGCAGCAGTAAAAATGAAGACTCTTTTACCCTTTCACACAGGGACCTAGAGAGCATCACGCTAAGTGAAATAAGTCAGTCAGAGAAGACAGTATCACTTGATCTCACTCATATTTCGAATCTAATTAACAAAAAACTGATGGAGTGGATTCAGAGACATGGAAGCATGGAATTACTGCAGAATATTAGAGGGAAAGTGGGGAAGGGTAAAAAGAAATGTCCTCTGTCCTAACCGGTTTGGCTCAGTGGATAGAGCGTCGGCCTGCGGACTCAAGGGTCCCAGGTTCGATTCCGGTCAAGGGCATGTACCTTGGTTGCGGGCACATCCCCAGTGGGGAGTGTGCAGGGGGCAGCTGATCAATTTTTTTTCTCTCATTGATGTTTCTAACTCTCTAACCCTCTCTTTTCCTCTCTGTAAAAAATCAGTAAAATATATTTAAGAAAAAAAAAAAGAAACGTCCTCAGGTAAGGATTAAAAACACAGGCAGACACACAATAGAAACAAAGTCACCTGAGCCTCGAGCATTTTATTCTGTTCCCTGGAAGCAAGGGGAAAGCTCTAGCTTGCTGGGTTCTGGGTCTGTACTACATTTGTGTTTATAAATCTGTCTTCCGTCAGTTGAGTCCCTGGAAATGCTGATACCCCTCCATGTAATGTTCTCCTGCTTCACATGAGTCAATTGCTTCTGGTGTTGTTGTAAGAAATGTCCAAATCTGTGGAGACATTTTCTAAGTTTATATGACCCAAGTCGGCGACATTTGCCAGGAAGCAAAATAACAACAGGTTGAATAATGGTCAGGAGAATGACACTTTTGCAGCTTTTTTATACATTATACTCAAAAAAGAAGACATATGGGGGTTACATGAAATTCACTGGTGTTAAATTAGAGTGGGGGGAATGAGGAGGGAAATCTCTAGTATTAAATAAAAAGTAACAAAAAAATAGACAAAAACTTAGTTTTAAAATGTTCTCCAACAGTTAACACATAATATTTGACACAACAACAATAATAATTGCGGACCTGAGGTCTTCTGTGTTTGGAGATTGTGCCCTTAAGAGTCTGTAAAAAAGGAAATTTCGCCCTAACCGGTTTGGCTCAGTGGATAGAGCGTTGGCCTGCGGACTGAAGGGTCCCAGGTTCGATTCTGGTCAGGGGCATGTACCTTGGTTGCGGGCACATCCCCAGTAGGGGGTGTGCAGGAGGCAGCTGATCGATGTTTCTCTCTCATCGATGTTTCTAGCTCTCTATCCCTCTCCCTTCCTCACTGTAAAAAATCAATAAAATATTTTAAAAAAGGAAATTTCCCTGGAAATCCAAAGATATGTATTCTAGATGCAAAAAGACAATATACATGCTCAATAAGCTAAAGATTGACCTTTGCAAAGAAACGAAACAACAAAAAAATGAGGCTAGGTCATAACGACCCCTGTGACTTGCTTTTACTTAAAAAGTTTTGCCCTAACCAATTTGGCTCAGTGGACAGAGCATCGGCCTGCGGACTCAAGGGTCCCAGGTTCGATTCTGGTCAGGGGCATGTACCTTGGTTGTGGGTACATCCCCAGTGGGGAGTGTGCAGGAGGCAGCTGATCGATGTTTCTCTCTCATCGATGTTTCTAACTCTCTATCCCTCTCCCTTCCTCTCTGTAAAAAATCAATAAAATATATTTTTTTAAAAAGTTTTAACTTCAAACCAACCTAGTTGATTACCTTTGGCCTGAGTTTGTAGGATTTACCATGCGATGCCAGGCTACCTGAGCTTGCTATATTTACTATACCATCATTTTTGTCCATACTGTAGTCTTAAAACCTATGGGGTCACGAGAAAAATCACTGAGTCGTGTATTTCCTTTGGGACCCATTCCTGACATCTCCCTGAACATAATGCCCCCAGTTCTGCTGGTGTCCCTTTATTTGGTCTCCTAGAAGTATTCACTCTTCAGGTCAATAAAGCCTTAGGTTCTAAAAGTCGTCGAGGTATTTGTAAGGACAAGAAGAAGGTCTTTTTGTTTCTTTTCAGTGACCTTCCACAATTTATGAGAAGCACTTGCTAATTAAACCCCAAAATTACTGGCTCCTCTAATTCAAAGAGCTCCTCTGTTCAAACTGCAGAACAAGATAAGCTACTTTTAAGGCTAAATCCTTACATACCCCTCTTTCCTGCTGTTGTTACACCTCAGGGATAACTCACACCAAGGAGTCTCTAATTAGTAGAAAGTTTCCTCCCCTTCACTCCTTCAAACAAGCCTCTTTTGAACTCTTCATAACTTTTTCTCTAGTCATATTTTATAGGCTGGGGAAGAAACTAATAAGACTCCTCCCTAGAACATCTGCCAGACTATCTCCTGGAAACCAAACTATAACTTTTAAGGACAGCTCCTCTTATCTACACAACTTCAGCTCAGCCCAAGGCCACTCCATTCTTTGTCCCTTAGTAACAGGCACTGCTGAAAAGCAGAAGCCATTTCTTCCCTGCCCTGAATTGACTAGCAATACTTGGCCTTTTCCACTCTTGGAAAGTAAAATAAACTTCCTCTCTGCATTGCTTTTTGTTGTGAATTCTTTCACAGGCTGTATGACCGCCCAAAACTTAACAGTATTCCTTTAATTTGTTGAGTTAAGGGAGTGATTGTGAAAGAAGCTGAGGGAAATGACATTGTAGAGGCAAAATAATTTTCCCTTCTTTTCTAGGTTCTTTGGTTAGTCTACAAATTAAATGGATAGGGCAGGCAGTGGGCCCGCCCCTCTGCTCTCCAGGCCCCCCACGGGCGCGACCAAGGAGTAGTGGTCCCTGGGCCAGCCTGGGGCAGCAGGCCCGGAACCACCCCATGAGGCCTCTTCTCTCTAGGGATGGTGAAGTTGGAAAAAGGCTCCTGTAACTCCCCTCCAGGATGAACTCCCTGCCAGCAGACATGGAGAACGCTCTGACAGGGAGCCAGAGCTCTCGCACTTCTCTGCGCGATGTCCATTCCATCAACCCTGCACAGCTCATGGCCAGGATCGAGTCCTATGAAGGAAGGGAAAAGAAAGGCATATCTGATGTCAGGAGGACTTTCTGTTTGTTTGTCACCTTTGACCTCTTATTTGTAACATTACTGTGGATAATAGAGTTAAATGTAAGTGGTTTTTTTCCCATAACAGTATAAGAATTGTTTCCAGAGACAAAACCGTTTTCTTATTTTTTTTTACATCATTTCTGTCTCCGTCAGTGAATTTTGTTTGTTTCCCCCAAATGAGGCAATATTGATCTCCAGCTGAATTGGACATTTCTTTTTCTTTACTGTGTAAACCAAACCTTGTTCATTTAAAATTCATTTTGTCTGGGATTTCGGAATTTGAATTCATGGTGTTTTGTATTATAGTGAAAATTGGCACACTACAGCCTGGGGTCAAAGTCAGCTGGACTGCTTTTGTTAATAAAGTTTTATTGGAACATAAAAAAAAAATTAAATGGCTAGCCTTAGCTGATTTGGCTTAGTGGACAGAGTGTCGACCTGTGGACTGAAGGGTTCCTGGTTCAATTCTGGTCAGGGGCAAATGCCCGGGTTTCAGGCTTGATCCCCATTGTGGGGCACACAGGAGGCAGTCCAGCAATGATTCTCTCTCATCATTGATGTTTCCGTGTCTCTCTCTCTGGGATCAATAGAAATATAGTTTTTTAAAAATTAAAAAACACAGATTAACAGGGGAAAACAATAAAAAACTTATTAACATGTACACCTACTGTATACACCAAGCATGTCAAAGTGGGGCCCCCAGGCTGCAGGGGGCCAACAACGAATATTCATTAATGATCACTCATTTATATCAGCCCTTTGTATTCAACCTATCGAGATAAACCTACATTTCTATGAAAATTTAAGCTTTTTTTTTTGTGGCACACAGAAACTTAAACTTTGTTTATATGGCTCGTGTTAGCCTTTGAACTGGACATGCTTAGTATATGGAAATGACTCAAAAACGAATAAGAGGCCGAAATGGCAAACACCATCATCTGAAAAGCCAACTTAACCTAAAATCAAAAAATGTTATGTGTGGAGACTCAGTTCGGGCAGATTGTCAGGAAAAGCACAGTAAGTACCTTAGTTGTGGCCCAGGGTGCTGTGCACTGCGGTGAGGGCTTGTACTCAAAAGGACCCTGTTCCAACCCAATGACCCAGGGTGCAGACACAGGAGACTGGGAAGGAGGACAGAGGTCCAGAACATGACCGGGCTGCAGGGAAAGCATGGTGAGAGCCATTGTCTCACTCAGCCAGTAGGGATATAGAGGACAGAATCACATGGGCAGTGGGTCCTATGCATGAATAAGAGGTGAGCACCCATCCACTGAGACCAGGGTCATGTAGGACTCCAGCATCACTTCTGAATATTAGGTCGCAAAATTCATATCAAAGCATATGCTCTCCTGAAGGGTGAGTGTCAGTGTCACATATGAAGGGTCAAACTGAAGCATGAAATTCACCCCAGTAAATAGAATGGCAGCATGACACCCAACGTGTGGGCACAAGTGCAGAGACCCAGCCCTAATTACCGAGGTCTCCTGAGGGTCATATTCTGTGCTGGGATCAAAGGGGAGGCAGACAAACAGCAGTTCACTCTGAAAGAAGTTTCCCTGGAGAAACCACTGCAGCTGAGAAATGATGGCGTTCCCCTGAACACGGGGAGGCCAAGGGCAAGTGCTCTGAGATGTAAAGGGAATGGGAGGAATCGCATAACTGCAACCATGGAAACAGGAGCTGCAGCTGAGCCACCCGGGTCCTCAGACTGTACCTGCTCCAGTGAGGGCTGCACATCTGAGGTACACACTGTGTCTGACGCTGGAGAAAATAATAGTTAAAATCCAGCTCCTTGAATCTGACACTTGTCTGTGGTGTAAACTTGGGGAGCTGACTTCATTTCTCTGACCCTGAACTTTTTCAGCAATTTGATATGGGCCGCACCACAATGAGACCTGAGTGGCACAGCACCTGCCTCCCAGCAGCAGAGTCAGCGGCTTCTTATAGGTCCCATTTCTCACTAAAATGCACCCAAGACAAAGGTGCTTGTGGGCATCGGGGAGTGAGGAGTGCCTGCCTGGGAAGGTCTCTGCAGGGAGTGGCTGAAGTTGCTGGAGCCAAGGCAGGCTGCAGGCACAGCTGCGTTACACAAGTGGACACCTTACCACTGGACCTTCTCCAATATCCCTGGCATGGGGACATACCTCATACTTGTTTTTCACAGGAGGAAACTGACTTAGACCTGGCAGAATGGGTTATGTCATTGTAAGTCCCAGTGATAATAGAAAATCTGAAATTCAAATCTAGGATGCCTGGATCCAGGGCATAGGGAGTCTGATCACTGCCCCCCATTTCCCGCTGAATTGGCTTCGGGGCTCTAAAACACCTGCCCAAGAGAGACAAGATGGCGGCAGCATAGGCAGATGCAACCCAGGTCTTGTCCCGGAGCAAAGGAGTGAGCAGCTGAAACTAATAACACCCACCCCAATTTGGCAAAGTATACTCAGCTGGTGAGACAGTTTGCAGCCGGGAAGGGCAGAGTTCCTCCTGAAAGGTAAAAACCAGGGATCTGGGCAGGAAAGTTTGCCAGACCTCTGAGCTCAGAGGGTCAGAGGGAGACGGCTTGGCACACAGCCGCGTCTCTTGGGACAAGCACAGCCCCTGACTGTGGAAAGGAGATCCGCGGGACTGTTGGCGCTCGGGTATTTGAGATCTGGGTTCCATAATTACGGAGGACTGAGCCTAAAAGGGGCAGCCTGAAGCGCTGACCAGACCATGCAGTGCAGGTAAGAGAGGAGCTTACAGAGACTCAGACGTCCCCGTTTCTGCGGCCGGCGTTTGTGTTCACTGAACCCTGTTCATAGGACAATTCGGATACAGACACTCACCCGTGAAGAGCGGGAGAAGGTGCGGACGAGTGGAATCTGGGGAGAGGCTGGGGAGAGAAGGAGGGCCAGGAGAGGTGGCAGCAAATTGAGTGCTGAGTCACCCCTGAGCCCGGGACTTGGGCAGCCATTTTTTCTCTTGAGGCTATAATTCCTCCCTCCAGGCCCCAGGCACAAAGAGAAACTCTTGTGCTTCTGCAGCCCAACCCAAAAAAAGGCAGACTTCAATTCCTCTCATACATAAGGGACACACTCAGGAAGCAGAATCAGAGGGCACTTCGTAAGCTTGAGAAATCTGTTTAAACTTCTCTCCCTTCATTTGAATTCTTATCAAGGTGGTACTTCAAGGCCAGCTTCCTATAAGCCTTTTTCAGCTCTTCCTGGGTGGCACTGGGTTTGACCCCCAAAACAGCATAGTAAGTGGTTGCTTTCATCATATTTGACAGCCGGTGAGCAGGCTGAGGCAGGTGTGGAGGAGCTGGAAAGAGGGTGTTGCTGCACGCAGCTGAGGCAGCAGCTGCTCCTCCACCTTACACCAAGTGTACTGGAAAGTTTCCTCAATAAAATATATTATTTTTAAAAAAGAATATCTATCAGAAAAAAAGTTGAGTTATGAATAAATCCACAAGTATATGAAAAATCAATTAAAGCAAAAAATACTTAAAAAATAAAGTTCTCTATGAAAATGGAATGTAAATCCACGGAAACTAGGAAAGCTTTGAAGAAAAGGGACAGGTTAAAATAGGTCATGAAGCAATTACACAGTAAAACATATAGTCAGCATTATGACTATAATGATAGTTTCAGTTTAATGCACATGTCAAGATTTATGAAACACTATACTTAACACATGTAATTTACTCATTACAGCTGTTAAAAATGGTTCAAGATAAAACAAATGTACGTTCATCTACTTTAGAAGAACAGGTTTCACAACTCTATATTCATTCCACATTCATATGCCCTCTGGGTGAGGGTCTCATGTCAGTAGAGAAAATATAACAAACAATGAAGAACTTTCACCCAAACCCACAAAAGCCACATCCTTGGACTATAGACAGCCTTTGCTTCCGTCTTTGTTTTACTGCCTGAGCACCAATGGCTCTCGGATGGGAACATCTGAGAAGCTACAAGAGCCACAAAACATCTCGATTATAATCAATGACAATGACTGCTCCACAAAAGATAAACATGCCTGGGGTCCTTCCGATCTGTGTACACACAGCTCTTGTAGTCTTTTCCCCAAAATAATTCCTGGATACACAGTTAGGTGAGGACCATTCCATCTAATGGGCTGCAGTCTCGTCCAACAATAATTAGGTCAGCGTTTCTGTAGTGAAAGGGTTTCCCCTGAATGCCATTGTCCTCAAACCAGTGACCATCACCTGTGAAATTGTAGGCATTAGGGCACGTGGCCCTCTGCAAGACCTGGGCAAGACATACCCTTCACATGTATTGGCATTCCTTGCAAACAAGAAAAAAATTTATGCTCCCAGACATACTTGAGGTTGTCACAGCTACCCCCTCTTTGGAGTGATCTCTGTGTCTCAAAGCATCCAGACATCACATGAGGATTAGAGAGTCCAGAGTATTTCCTAGGAAAATATGGGCAGCAGTGTAAATTTGCCAAAAGGAAAATATCAGCAGTGTAAATTTGCCAAAAACTGCTGAGCTAATCCTGCACCGTACTGTTGCCCCAAGGGCAAAAATGTTTGAGACCCCATAAAAGTTGTTCACCTCATCATGCTTGGAGAGCTCCGATCTCCTTAAAGCTAACCCACACAGTAAATAAAACACCCAATATTAAAGAAGTCTTAGGGAAAAGCGTTCATTATTGTACAAACCAAAGAGATATGAGACTGGCAGTTCTTCCACTGATGACTCAGGCACTCAATAAATTGATCACTGGCCTGCACGGAAAGCATTCCCTCTGCAATATTATGTTTACTGGGGCCAACAGTAATGAGTCCCATGTGGCAATGCATGACAGGGAAAAAAGAAAGAACAATGGGCTCAGGTATTCCTCATTTTCTTCAACAAAAAAGACAACAGAGTTAGCTTCCCCGGGCACATGAGGATGGTGATTGATGGCATTTGTAGGGACCTTATAGGTGGTTCAGATGAAATACCTTCTACAACAGAAATATGCAGTGACATAGATCTGGCAGGACATCTCTGTATGTTAGAACATGCAACATAATTACACCGTGTTCCAACATAAAAACAAACACAACAAGAACACTTATGGGAACTTTACATAATGTAGGTGATTAAATGTATCAGATAAAATTCAGAAAAATGAGGACTCACAAATTTTCTTGTACTAATGTTAAGTCCTAACTAAGAAACTACATTTCCTACACATCTAAGAAATTTCTCACATTTGGACTCATGTGCAGAGCGAATTTAGAAATTTGGCAGAGAGATACCTCATATTAATTGCACTCATGTTTTTCTCCAGTGTGAACTCTCTGATGATATTGAAGACCACTGCTCCTTGTAAAAGATTTTCCACATTCACTGCATTTATAAGGCTTTTCTCCTGTATGAAGTCTCTGATGATAATGAAGGGCAGTGCTCTGGGTAAAAGATTTCCCACATTCACTACATTGATAAGGCTTTTCCCCAGTGTGAACACTCCGATGATATTGGAGACCATTGCAACTTGTAAAAGATTTTCCACATTCACTGCATTTATAAGGTTTTTCTCCCGTATGAACTCTCTGATGACGATGAAGGACGGTCTTAGTGGTAAAAGATTTTTGACATTCACTGCATTGATAAGGCTTTTCTCCAGTGTGAACTCTCTGATGATATTGGAGTCCTTTTCTACTTTTAAATGATTTTCCACATTCACTGCATTTATAAGGCTTTTCTCCAGTATGAACTCTCTGATGATGATGAAGGTCGGTCTTAGCGAAAAAAGATTTCCCACATTCACTGCATTTATAAGGCTTTTCTCCAGTGTGAACACTCTGATGATATTGGAGAGAACTGCTACGTGTAAAAGATTTTCCACATTCACTGCATTTATGAGGCTTTTCCCCTGTATGAAGTCTGTGATGATAATAAAGAGTGGAGCTATGGGTAAAAGATTTCCCACATTCTCTGCATTTATAAGGCTTTTCTCCTGTATGAAGTCTGTGATGATAACGAAGTTCAGTGCTCTGGATAAAAGACTTCCCACATTCACTGCATTTGTAAGGCTTTTCTCCCGAATGAATTCTCTGATGTTGACAAAGGATGGTCTTAGAGGTAAAAGATTTTCCACATTCACTGCATTGATAAGGCTTTTCTCCAGTGTGTACTCTCTGATGATACTGGAGACCATTGCTCGTTTTAAAAGATTTCCCACATACAGTGCATTTATAAGGCATTTCTCCTGTATGAACTCTCTGATGAAAACGAAGGTGCAGTGCTACGGGTAAAAGATTTCCCACATTCACTGCACTGAAAAGGCTTTTCTCCTGTATGAACTACCTGATGATCACGAAGGCCAGTGCTCTGCATAAAAGTTTTTCCACATTCACTGCATTTATAAAGCTTTTCTCCCAAATGAAGTCTCAGATGTCGATGAAGGTGGGTCTTAGCGGTAAAAGCTTTCCCACATTCACTGCATTGATAGGTCTTTTCTCCAGTGTGAACTCTCTGATGATATTGTAGAGCATGGCTACTTGTAAAAGATTTCCCACATTCACAGCATTTATAATGCTTTTCTCCAGTGTGACCTCTCTGTTGAAAATGAGAACCAGAAAATTTGGTAATATATTTACCACATTAAGAGCACACACAACAACCACTTCCAAGATGGACACCTTTTCGCTGAATAAACGTGTGGGAGCAACTAATGTCTTTCTTACATTCTTTTCTGCTGAAATAATTTTTTCTCCTTTGAAACGCCAGTCCACGCATCAAAATAGCATTTGGACTGTCCCTGGTCTGAGTATGAGTAGCCTTTAGGTGGACATGTCCTGACCCAGTAAGGACAACCTGCCCAACATCCCTGCATGTGAAATGATTCTGGGAAACATTGAACTTCCAGCTGTTTGCAAGTGACAGCCTTTCCACACCTCTAATGAAATTCTTCTCTCTCACAAGCTGCTGGTGAAATTTTGCACACAAAGAAAATCTTTTTGCACATGCCCCACACCTCAACAGTATTTGTCTGTGTTGTGTTCCCTGGAGTTTCATAACGTGGAAAATGTTTCCCAGGACTAGCCCACAACGCTCACAGGGGTGGCTCTTCTGGGAAGACAAGGGTAAATTTGGATTCCTTGCCTGTGACAATCTTCCAGAAACCTTTTGTTCAGTCAGGACCTCCACATTCTCTTCTCCACAGCAGCAACCTGAACAAAAGGAAATGTAGGTGAAGTGCATGTTGACCTGATAAAAACAGAATATCTTCAACACACATGTTTATCTGTCATGACTGGACACGATTCCCTACAATGATTTTCAAGACAAGGGAGTCAGACTCTCAGGAAATGGCTGTTATATATAACATGGCCCAAAAGGTCACTGGATGAGGAAAATCTCACTAAGGGAGGACAGAAGCATAGGCTGGCACAAAAAGAAGAGAGGCAATGTCTGCTCGTTATTACTCTACAAATGGCTTCCTTTAGGAACTTTCATGCTGGCGATATGACTCTGTGTAGAATAATTCCAATGTGTTCAAAACCATAAATGATCAATCATATTAGAGCATGTGATGTTCAGCGCCAATATAATATGGGTGCACTCTAAGGCCTGAAGGCATGGAACAATATTGGAGTGCAGTAAAGCGAGATGTGTGAAAGAGGTAGAGGTGCAAAGTTTAGAGAGGTTAAGGTTATCCACAGGCTGGCAATCCGAGTGGAATGATCAGTATTAAAACTGTAAAGTGTCAACATTAAGCAAGAAGAAGTAGAATTGGGTGAGGAGTGGGCAATGGTAAGAAAACACTGTTGAACAAAATGGGTTCCTAGTTATGAATGTAACAAAGCCCAGGGGTGAAAACTGCCCCGACAGCCCTTCGCCAAGGCAAGACTGCCTCAGGGTCTAGCACAGAGGTCCTCAAACCACAGCCCACGGGCCACATGCAAATACAAATATTGTATTTGTTCCCGTTTTGTTTTCTTACTTCAAAATAAGATATGTGCAGTGTGCATAGGAATTTGTTCATAGTTTTTTTTTAAACAATAGTCCGGCCGTCCAACGGTCTGAGGGACAGTGAACTGGCCCCCTGTTTAAAAAGTTTGAGGACCCCTGGTCTAGCCTGTCATTGATAAAGTCATGTTTCTCCTGTGATGCACAAAGAATTCTGCCTCTTAAATCCCAGTTGAGCCACTGCATGGGATAAATGATGCAAATCTTAAAAGAAAAACTAAACAGATGGATGGTCAGCACTGTGGTAGAACAACAAAGCACAACGGAGATCACAGACAAAAGACCTATGAGAGTGACATCAGCAAGATGGCAGAATGAGAAAGAATCTTTCCCCATCCCAGAGTAAGTAGACAGCTATCCATGAGAAAAACATCCCACAGGAAATGGGAATAACAGTGCCATGAAGACAAACAATAATTCTGAATAGCAAATAAGGACAACTGCATAGAAAGGAAGACAGGAAAATGGGTGAGGAAGCACATTTGAGAATACCTAAGGTCAAACACAAGGGTTAATAATAACTAACTAACGAACTAAGTAAATAAATAAATACAGCAAGGGTCAGCCCTAGCTGGTTTACTCAGTGGATAGAGTGACAAAGAAACAGGTCACAAATGACAGAAATGGAGGAAAGCAAACTACTAGATATAGAGTTCAAAACCACGGTTATAAGGTTTTTCAAGAATTTTCTAGAAACCGCCGATAAATTTAGTGAGACCCTCAAGAAATCTAGTGAGACCCTCGAGG